CAGCAGCTTGTACCAGTGAACCCTGGTCATTTTCAGTTGTCTGAAAGCAACACGTGAGAACCAGCTAGTTCCCTCTGCCTTAGTCCAACCAGCCTCCATGCAGCTGTGCTTGGTCACTCTCCTAGGCACTGGTTTCCAAAACTAGTCCCACCGTGGAGACCTCTGGAAATGCAGGAGACAAGCTATGAGTTGAGAGACCCCTAAGATATCAGAACTTAGGTCAAGGAGGCAGAAAGCAGGTTGTTGAAGGAGACACCTTGAGGACTAACATGAGATTGGTAACGGGTCACCTGTCCACAGCACTTACACAGATGCCATTAAAACAGGCAGCACCGGGAGTGGGAATGTTTGGGTGTCACTTCATATGGTCATATGAAACCTGTCTTAAATGTCCATTTTAACCACTCAAGACCAGCTCCTTTGCACCACTCACAAGGAGACTTGGATGGAAGACACCATGGTCTGAGAACACTCTGGAAAATCACACAGGTATGATTCACTGAACGTGAGCCTAGAAGCAAGAGATGAAAGTCTGCATTTTTTTCTTTAAAAAATGTTGTTCTATAATCCTCACAATACAATAGAGGAGGTAGGTGAGAATGACTAGTCCCATTTTCAGGTGGGGATATTGAGGCACAGAAAGATTAAGAGATTTGCCCCCACTCATACCAGGAATCAGTATCAAAGCCAGGTTAAAAGAAAGGCTCTCTTCTAGGTGTCTGAGTGATGATCTTGGTGTCAGGTCATATATGCTATCCCAATCCCCCCTGATATTCTTACAGCCTGCATATGGCTGCAGCTGCCAGGATTCCTTTATCTTCAAGAAGGAATTGCCAGGAAAGGCAGTCAATGAGCAGAGCTACCAGCTCACTTGCAAAAAAAAGAAAGCCCTGAAATGTCCCAGGATAGACCTTTACTATCTACTTACAATATCTGATCAGTTGTCCTTTTTTTGTTGTTTTTAACTTGTTGAGGTCAGAAGCCCATTAAGAAGTCCCCATTGCTTCCAGTAAAATGTGGCCAAAATACGACCGCAACACGTTTTGCTTTCTGAGAATGGGGATGGTGGGTGGGGGCATCTCCATCCTGTTTCCCTCTCCCTGCCCCACTGAAGATCTAAGGAGAATCCTGGTAACAGTCCATGCAACAGTGAAGTGGCAGGTCCACAGTCACTCTGTAGATTCACATATGACAAACCACTAGCATGACCTACTTGTCCTCAGCTGGGAGAGGCCCCCAGGAGACATTCGGCCACGTCTATAGATAATTTTGGTTGCCACAACTAACTTGGGGGTTGCTACTGGCAGCTAGTGGGTAGGGACCAAGGATGCTGCTAAATGTCCTGCAGTATACAGGAGCCACCCCACAATGTCAGCAGAGGCTGAGGAAACCTGGTTCACCCCTACAACGGTGTAAGATGCTGAGTTCCCCCCAGGATTTGATCCTCCTTCTCCACCTCGCACTGGCTTCAGCCTCATCAGTGGGTGAGCCACCTGCTCCCTGGTGCTGAAACACATCTTCCCAGGAGGACCAAGCCTTTCACTTCCATGTAGAATTAAGGCTTAAATGCAAATATCCCTGGAAGAAATACATATAGGTCCTGCATTCTGGTTCTTTCCTGAGAGTGCTCTGATAGGGCAGAGAACAGGGCACCAAGAGAGAAATAGCAAGGGGGTGCAAAGAGGAGGGCAGGCCTGCCCCAGCTCCTAAGCTCCACAGAGCCGCCCAGGCTCACTCTGGAATGAAAGCACAGCCTGCCCCACCCAAGTGAGCTACGGGGCACCCAGTGCGCTGTTATGACTACAAAGTGCACGCCAGGTTGAAGGTGCAGCCTGGAACTATACACCACTGATAGTTCTTAGTTAGCTACCTTGTGGGTCAGTGTTACTGGTGTCCTCTTTCACCAGAATCATTATTTTCCCAAAGGACAGAGAGGGGAAAAGCAAGCCTTGGGAAAGTGTCTTCCCCTGCTTTGCAGGGAGCTGGGATATTACACAATGAGATGCTAGTAGATATTTTTAAAAGGGGATTAATCTGAAAAGGAAAAGGCATACACTTTTACCAAACTTGCTCACTAGCAAAGAACAAACTGCAAACTACCTTGTGCAGGTATTATTTACAATGCAACAGACACCACGTCTCAAACTACTTCAAATTTTTCTCGCTGAAACAGCTCTACAGATTTATACCGAGTTATTCCTCAGCCAGCCCAACATAAGCATCATCTGGATGTAACTTTTATGTACAAATGTGTCACCACGTTGTGACGTGACCGAGAGTTCAGTGGAGGAGGAGCCGCCCAGGACCTGTCTGTTTCTACTCTGAATCCCAGGGCCTTCTTGGGCATGGGGAGTTGTGAGGTTCCTTCTTCACTCTTCTGGTCCCGCAAAGCCACAAGTGTGTGGCATAGGCCTGCTCTTCTCTTCGAAGTCTGCTCTTGTCCCTGAAAGGTGTTTTTGCGCTGAAGACAGGAGAACTGGCTGTGAAGCATAGCTGGATACTGCCCATGCTTTCCGCCGTATTGCTTCTGGACTCAGGGTTGTCAGCCCCAAGCTCACTGCTACAGCAGGGAGGAGGGAAGCTTGCTTACCCCTCTCTGAACTTGGGAGAGTTTTCTTCTTAAAGATGCTACCCGGGTTGGTGGCATTCCCTTCCTGCATTGTGCACATCTCCCCTGACCCAGGTAATGGCTCCCTCGAGGGTGTTACCAAGTCCAGGATGTCTGGAGTTGGTAACACCCTCGAGGGAGCCACTCCAAGCTGCCCAAGCTCCAAAGAGGTGTTTCCTCCGCAGTGCTGGCTGCCTGGTGACCCAGGGTGGGCTAATTCTGAGTGCTTCTTGTGATAAGCTGTTCCTGCCAGGCGGCCCTGTCTAGTTGACCTTCCCCACCCTCCTTCTATTTCCAGGGTGGGATGCTGGCCTCTCTTTTCCAAAAGAGGGCAGGCATTTCCCAAAGCTGATGGTGTCTGGACTTGCCAGCCATGCTACAGCTTTCTGGGCTCCAGGAAAGCAGTGTCTCCTCCGTGTCTTTAATCTTTAGGGATTTTTCCCATGCTCTGAGCCAAGGCCACCAGAGCTGCGCCTAAGGATGAAGCTGTAGGAAAATGGAAGCACAGAGAGGCAGCCAGATAGGCAAGGACACAGCAGGTCAGGTCTCATGTGATTCCTCTGAAGGCTCTGGGGCAAGAGGGGGAGAGCCAGAAACCACCTGGCTGGGTGACATGGACTTCCATGAAGCGGGTGGCTCTCAGGACAATGGAAGCCACACAGAGCAGCTCCCTGGTGACCCGGCCCACTGGCCTCACCAGCCACGTCTGCGGAGACAGCACACCAGGCAGCCTTGTGAGCCAAGAGCATGAGGAGCTTTGAGGTAGGACTGTCGTGCCCACTGGACAGAGGGGAGGATCTGCACAGCCCAGGCAAGTGTCACTCAGAACGCAGGCACAGGGTCCAAACAGGAAGGTGCTAGCAGACAGGCAGGTTTAAGAAAATCCAGCAAATAGGTGAATTATTCCCCAGCCTCAGAGATAAAATGTTAGATAAAATATACTATTTTAAAAAGGAGAGAGAAAGGTTATTACCAGGTAGGGCTGGAGGTGGCAAGTGGCAGGGATGAAGAAAGAAGAGAAGAGAGGAGGGGATCTCTGGGAACAGAGCCCCCAGAGCTATGCCTAAGGATGGCTCCAAGAGGTGGGGGTGCCTCAGTGAGAACCAATCTTTAGGGCAGGGGTCCTCAAACTTTTTAAACAGGCGGCCAGTTCACTGTCCCTCAGACCGTTGGAGAGCTGGACTGCGGGCCCTGGGACAAGTTGGCTGCTAAGCAGGACAGGCAGTGGCAGCAAAACCACCTGGTGGGCCAGATAAATGTCCTAGGCAGGCCCTATGTGGTCCGCGGGCTGTAGTTTGAGGACGCCTGCTTTAGGGAGAAGGTTGGCATTTCCAGGAAGAAGGAGAGCAGCCCTGCCTGGCATATGGGGCCGGGCACTCCCATTCTGGGAGACAATAGTGCCCTTCTGCTTCCTGCCTTCTCCAAGGGTCATGACACCCCATGAAGGCAGAGTCATGCCTGCCTGCCCGTGGGCCATGTCTTGTGTTTGTGATGTTTTTGTGATGGTGGGGTGGTTGGATTCAAAACAGAGGGTGGAGTAGCTATGAGCAGCTTTCCCAGGGTGGCACCTTGTAAGTGCTTCTGAGTCTGAGAGTGGTACAGCTTAGAAGACAACTTGGATACGTGTTTAATTAACATCTTAGAGGGCCACTTCCAGAAAGAAGCTACCACCAGGTGAAGACTCATCACATGGGCATTAAAATTCAGGTGTTTTCGTTTGTGTTTAAAAACTAAGAACTAAGTAATGAAAGAATTTCAGCAGACTGTTGCGCCAACTGGTTGATTAACAAAGGGCCTAAGGAAGAGATTTAGAAGGTTCTCAACAGTTCAGTGAGGCAGGAAAACTCAAGCATTGATGATTAACACCCCTTCCGATCAATCCCGAATTAGGTCTGCAAGCAGCAGATCATACTAAAGATGCCAGGACTGGGAAACCAAAGGATAACCTTCCCAGCAAAGATGAGAACCCGCAGCCTAGGTGCTCTGGGGAGGAAGGATGTCCCAGCAGGGAGCTAACCCTTGGGCACCTGGGGTCACCATACACACAGACAGCTCCCTTACACCTGCTCTCAGAAGGCTGATCTCAAAGTCTGCTTTCCTCTCTCCCTCCAAAAAAAAATCAACCTTTGAAGATAGATGGCAGGAAACAAAACCAAAATGTGAAAGCCTCCTCACTCCCTTGAGAAAAGTCCTTCTTTGTGGCATTTGTGACATCTGGGTGGGATGGCCTGTAGACCCATTCCCCATCCCCCAAAGAAAACACATCTCTAAGATATTCCAGGGCTGCGGGGTTGCACCCATCACCTGCCCATCCTGCCCTTGTGGGTTATTTGCGCTTCACAAGGATAGCAGGGAGCTCAGTCACAGGCCGGGCTGGATGCTGAACTGGGAATTAGTTGCCTGAGAGCTTCGGCCTCCCCAAGCTTGTTGGCACTTCCAATCCTGTGTGCAGGGTGACCTGGAAAAGAAGATAAGGAATTGAGGGTGGGAGAGGCTGCTCCCTGGGCCCTGAGGGCACTGATGGCAGGCCAGCTACACACAGTGTCCTCCGCTTGCTCGAGGACTATCCCACACAACAGCCCAGGGCTGCTTTACATCATTGAACACGCTGTTTATCACAATGTTCAGCAGCATGAATTAGGGTCCGTGATGGCTTGCCCTCTTTCCTACTAATAGGAATCACCCACGGACTGGTCTCTTCTCTGGGCAGACATGCCTGAGCCCAGGCAAGTGACTCTGTGCAGTAGGAGCTATGGTTCTCATGGCTGTATGTCTGAGTCTCCTTTCTTTCCAGGGCCCTCTTCCTTTCCCATGCTGTTCTATTCATCCTCTAAAACAATGGCCCACCTTTCAGGCTGCCTCAAATACCTTTTGCAAACGAGTAAAGGTACAAATCAATCAATAACTGGTTGATATAGACCCATCAATATTCAATGGGAACCACCAAGCAGGACCCTGCCTCTCCCCACCTCCCATTATCTACCCAGGGGCAGAGGACTCTACTAGACACAAAGGATGACACCCCTGTTTCTCTCTCTCCCGTGCACACTCTGTGCTCTCATTTTGTCTGTCTGTTTCAGGCCTCCTGACCTATCAGCACCCCAAGTTGCCATCAGAGGGTCCCTGCTCATTCTAAGTGAACTGTTAGGCCTAGGCTAAAGTAGAAAAATACCAGTTAACTCCTGGCAAATTTCTAGGCTGCAGGCCCTCAACAAAATGAAATAAGTCTAGTTCACTCCCAAGATACATGAAAAAGTACTAATTGATTTCCTGCTTCTAGTTCACTCCAAGTTTCTTGCTTGGCTAACTGCCTGGGAAACAGACTGGGAGGTACCAACTGTTCCTGGACTGACCTTTAAACAATACCAGGTGGGGAAAGTACTGAAACTAAGATGTATAGAGGGAAAATATTAAAACAAAGATGTATGATGTATGGCTAACTGCAAAATTCTGCTTCTGTACAATGCTTGCTTGCTACCCTACCTGAATGCACCTGGACAGCCTGTGTGCCAACCAGGATGCAGACCAAGCCTTAAAAACCCAACCCTTTAAGCACTCGAGGCTGCTCTCAAAAACCCCATGTTGGGACACTAAGGCAGTTGCCAGCCGGCTCTTCAATAAAGGGACTCTGCTATGAATTTGGCTTGTTTGGCAGTGTAGTCTTTCTGGAACTCCTGGGCACAACGGAACAAGTCAGAAAGGACTGCCTGACCAGGTGTGGTGGCTCATGCCTGTGATCCCAGGCGTGGTTGAGGCCAGAAGTTTGGACCACCCTGAGCAAAACAGCAAAAGACCACCTCCCTAAAAAAAAGAAAAAAAGAAAAAACCCTAACCATGCATGGTGGTGTGTACCTGTAGCTCTAACTGCTTGTGAGACTGAGGCAGAAGTTCAATCTGGCTGAGCCTAGGAGTTCAAGGCTGCAGTGAGCTATAGTCATGCCACTGCACTAGAGCCTGGGTGAGAGATTAAGATCCCATCTCTGAAAAAATTAAAATTACATAAATAAACAAATAGAAAGGCTATCTCAATGCAGTCTGATAGGTAAGCTCTGTCTGCATGGGCACTGCGGTCAGCTTCTCACAGCCCATTTACCCCAGGTGCCCTGTAGAGATACAAGACAAACTAGGGAAGTAGCCAGGTCGGCTCTGCCCCAGAGGGGTGCTTGGTACCTGCACATTGCGATTGAGGCTGAGGGCTGGCATGAAGACCCCATCCACGTGGCTGAAGGCTGTGGGGCCCTGCTGCTGCCCATTGATGTAGAAGGTCAGGGTGTGCTTGTTCAGGTCCAGCAGCACACCAACCGTGGCCCCCTTGCACACACCTCCTTCTGTCCTGGGAAGAGAAGCCCGGGAAGATCCGTCACTATGCTCAGCCTGCGATGCAGGTGGGTACGTCTCAGGAGAAGACTCAGGAGAATTATTTAAAAGGATGCTGAGAACACTCTCACCTAAAAACATGGCTCCCAAGGTGTTGGGCCCTATTCTGGGCACATGAGGCCTCTCATGAAAGGGAGACACCCTGTTATTGGGCATGCATGAAGATTCTACCCTGCCGCACAACCCCTCCCTTCTGAGAGTGACTGTCTGGGACCTGCACACCAGGCACTCAGGGTTTTGATGAGTGGGTCACCTTTGAAACTGTGGAGCATGGGTAAGAAAGGTGCCTTTACCTGCTAAAGAAAACTACTAACTTGGTGCCCTATTCTGTCAGCCAAGGGAGGATATGGAGCTCAGTGAAGGTCCCAGACATCCCAGACTTCAGGAAACTTTGAAAAGCCCCCTGACTTCGGCTCATCTTCCCAGACACATCGCAGGGGCCCTTGAAAGGCAGCATATGGCAGAAGGGGGATAATGAATTTGGAGTCAAGTCCTCTGGCTGAGTTGCCAGGCCCCTCTGGGCCCCACAGAATATAAGTGAATCATTAAGTGAGGGGCACTCTCTGCAGGGAGCCTTGGCTGATCTTGCCTTGTCCCCATGAGCCCAATCCTGCTAAAAGGGCTGAGGTCTTGGTCTTCCCATCTCTGCTAAGAAAACCACATTTGTCCTTTTTGATTAGGAACGGGTTGAACAGCTGGAAGGAGCAATGTGAAGGCTCACAGCAGAAAGTAAGGCTCACAACTGAAAATCGTGAGGAGGACTGGTGGACGAATGGAGGGTATTTCCTGGAAAGTCAGGTTCCCTCAAGGTGCAGGGCTGGAAGGGCAGTGGCTGGATGCGGTGGGAGGGAAGCCAGAGATAGGACTGGGCTGTTGGTACTATTTGGACGCTGACCACCAGAGGGCAGTAGTGATCAGTCGAAGTTCTCACCTAAGCAGTCTCCTCCCAAGGTCATCTGGGGCCCAACTTCTCCAGCCCAGGCTTCCTCTACAATAGCGTTCAGCTCACAGAAGGGCTGCACACCTGGGAGGTGGGAGGGCGTGCAAGCAGGGCAGACTCCTCCCTTGACTTTCTCCCAGCCACTACTTTCCTTCTGCTCCTCCTATCAAGGAGACGCCCAGGGGCTGGCAAGGGCAGTAAGGGCCACTTGCTCGCCAGTCCACCCAGAGGGTATCATACCTATGCCCAGGAGAGGGGAGAAGTCTGCTCCACACAGGGGTGGGAATCCTGACTTCAATCCCAACAGCACCACTAATCAGCCCTGTAACTCAGGCTGTTATCGGACTTGTCTAAGTCCCTAGTCCCATCATCTGTAAAATGGTGATGATACTAGTAGTTTCATGAGGATTAAGAGATCAGACATTTCGGGTGCTTCCATCATCATCAGGCACAAAGTAAGTGCTCAGTAAATGCTCACTGTTAACAGTCCCATCAACAGGCAGGGCATCTGGGTGCTGCTTTGGCTTAGGCAAGCAGAAGTGGAATAGATGGGCCTGGCCTCCACCCCTCTGTGGGCAGGAGGAGGGAGGAGAGTGATCAGCTGCAGTGTCCAGGCAGAGGGATAGAGCTACCTGCCCTCCCACAGGCCTCTGGACAGAAGGGGCGTTACCCTTTCTGGCAGGCAAGGCAGGTGGAATCCTGAGTGCTCTCAGACACATCCCTGGCCCAGACCAGATCTGGATCTCTCATGAGTGAACTCTGGGTCCTCCCAGTGAAGAGAGGGTGCCCTGGGGGCTGTTTGCAGAAGCTGCAGGTGGACCCAGAGCTCCGGGAGCATCCAGGGCCAACTGCCCAGAGCTGGGGCCCTCTGCAGTCAGATCTATAGGCTCCTTACCCCTCCTGGGTGGGCGATGGCACTTAGCAGACCAGGAAGGAGGCCCTACAACAAGAGGTGGCTCCAGGTGGCTGGGACTGCTGCTCTCTATTTCTGGGTTCCTTGGCCAGTGCTGGTCTGGGGATTCTCTACCCACCAGGTCCACCCCACAAACACACTGGCCAGGTATGAGCTAAGATTCCCAGGGGGAGGGTTAAAGAGTGCTGAGATATGGTGGAAGTGAGGGGGCTTCCTGCCTTCTCTGCGTCTGAGCAGAGAGGCCAAGGCATCTACAAATCTCTGGAGGCCCAGACCTTGGGGGCATCTTTCCAGGGTAGCCCTGAAGGGCTCATCCCCCTCTGGCTTCCTGCCCTCAGGAAGCCCCAGTAGTGACACTGACCTTTCCTCCCCAGAACCTGAGTCTCTAGTGTCCACTGGATAACACCAGTCCCGGGGACAGCCTCAGGTGGGACCTGCACCTGTGGGCACCCTTATTAATAGATATATCAGCAGTGAGCACCCAGCCAGGCCCCCTTCCCAGGCCTGCCTGCTGAGGGCTCTGCCACACCAGGGTGTGGCAGGGTTGTTCCAGGCAGACAGCCAGCAATGACCTGGTCACAGCTGTGAGGATACCAGGCACAGTAGTGCCCCATTAATGCTCTGCAGGGATTTAAACTTGGGTTGATAGTTGCAAAGAAAAGTGGAGCAGAACCAGAAAGAAAACCAAGAGCTGAGGGTCCTACTGTGTGTCTTGATGGATGGGTGACTCAGGAGATACCTGGGCTGGGGCTGTCTGGTCACCACGACATATCCTCAATTGGGCTGCACATGGGCCACTTCTACCTGGTCAGAGACAAAGCCTCTAGGGAAACAAGAAACCAGACTTGCTAAAAACATCCCCCTGACAGCTGGCTTTGGGGACAGCAGGAGGGACACTGGCTCAGCCCTGGCAGTGCCCCACCACGTACCTGTTGGTGTGGGAGTTGCAGTGCATGAACCAGCTTCGGTTGTTGTCCACGTACATGGCCCAGGCCTTGTCGTCCTTGCCCAGCATCATGTCTTTGACCACACTGGCCCTGGCCACCCCAAAGGCGGGATCTGGGTGGTTGTCGTAGCGGTCTACATGCAGCTCCCAGTAGTGGACACCCTTGGAGAACGCAGCCGTGCCCAGCACTACCCGGTCATCATAGCTGCTGCAGGTGGCTGTTTGGTTGTCATTGGATAATATGATGTCCCGGTGTCCAGAGTTGGGGTCAAATGTAAACCAGGCCACTGAAAAGGACATAGGTGAGAGGAGCAGGGTCAGGCAGTGGAATCTGCTAGCTGTCTCTACTGGGCTCAGAGGCCTGGACTCAACTCAGCTCTATTAGAGAATAGCATCCAGCATCAAATGGTCTTCCCTGTATACCTGCCATCCACCTCACACACACGCACACATGCACATAGACATGCACACCCGACCCGTGTGTGCGCACACACACATGCATGTGCACACATAGAAACACACATGTGCACCCTGCTACATCCAAGTTCTCAGTCCCATGAACCCAGCCTTGCTAAGGAACACAGTTAGACTGCAAAACCCCAAATCAAGATGCCTTACACAGGGGCTGAGTCTCTAACACCCTTTTGTATGTTTCTCTGGGGCTGGAGACCAGCAACATAGATGTGGATGGCCCACCTCGTTAAGTGGGACATGGCCGAGGTCACAGAACTCAATTCTCCATTTCGCAACCCATCAGATAGTGTCCCCTTCTGTTCTCCAAACCCCCCCAGTCTGTAAGAAGTGAGGCCCTTACTCTGAAATTGTGAGCATGACACATAAGGCCAGGACCCCCCCACCTGGGCTAGGGGTGCTGGGGTCGGAAAGCAGATGAGCTCTTCTCCAGAGTGTACACAAAGACTGTGGGTCATGCCATGTCAGAAGAGCTGTGCCCTTCCACACCAGCACTGCTGCTCCTTCCCCTCCCCACCCCTGGAAGCCATACAGTGGTGTCAGTCGGGGGCCTGCGAACAAGCACAGGACTAGTGCTGTCCTTGGGGCTGGCGGGAGTGGGAAACTATGAGAGACCTGTGAGAGAGGTCATGCTGGGCAGTGCCTGTGGAGCAGGACTGTCTCTGGAATGTGGCTTTTACTGCTACCGTCACTTCTCACTAAAGACTCAGATGATCAAAATTCCACCGAACACCGAGGTGCTGTTGTTTCCTATACCTGGAGAGGACACAGCCAGGTGCATAAATTGTCAGACCTGAACTCTGGCACTGGGTACCCGGGACACGTTCCTGTGGGAGAGGTAGCCTGCCTGAGCTAACCACATTTAGTCCCCTGTTCCAGGTCCAACAAAGTGAGGAAAGAAAAGTTTCTTTCAAGGCTCGTGTGCAGAGTCCAGATGGATGGGTGCACCCCTTCCAGCCCCTCCTTTCCTCCATTCCCTCCCTCTTCCATCAAAGCAGCTGATCCTTTCCCCCACCCATGGATGAAAGGGGGTGGGGCCTGAGGGTTCACCCATGGCCTCGGTATGGACCAGTATAGAGAACATAGCTGTTCCCAGTACCCCCCAGTCATCAGGGCTGCTGCAGATGTGTCAAGTTGGATAACATGATGAATCTCTTCCTCCCACTGAAGGCCCCCAGTGCTCACCATCGGACGTCTGCAGGACGACAGTTTTACTGTAGGGCCCGACACCAGAGGAGTTGAAAGCCTTGACCCGGGCGTTGTAGGTGCTATTAAAGTGGAGCCCATCAATGGTGCACAGTGTCTCCTTGCCCACATACACTTCCTGAAAGAGAGACAGCCGCTCATCAGCCCCCTCCTGTATTGGAAAATTCCTCATAGGAAACCATCTCTGGAAACACAGGGACATTAAAGTGCCATTGCTCATGGGCAGTCCCAGGTACTTGGGAGGTGGAGGTGGGAGGATCCTCTGAGCCCAGGGGTTCAAGGTGGGCCAGGGCAGCATAGTAAAAATTTGCCTCTAAAAAAATTGTTCTTAATTTAAAAAATTAGAAAATTAAGATAAGTATTATTGCCCTAATAGAACTTATTGAATAAAGAAAATAACAACCAGTTGTGACCGGGTCACGGGTCTTGACCAAGGTGAGCACAAACACCTTCCTGTGGGCTGCCTGGCCCTCTGCCCACGAGGCTGCAGGAGAAGACCCAGTTCTGCAGCCAACCAGAGCATCCTGCCTCTGCTGAGGTCAACCCTTTCAGACAAGACTCTGGACCCCAGGGGGATGTCCGTTTCTTCTCCCACCCCGAGGCTGGCACCTCCTACTCCTTGGCCCTCCTGGATCTGCTATTTTCTCAGTCTCCTCAGAGGATGAGACATTTGTGCACCAGATCCCAAAGATCCTTTTCTTGGGATTTACTTTGCTTCCTCCTCTCTGCAAACTTACCCTTGTCCTATATGTCATTACATTCTGCTTAGTTGGTGTGAAACTTTTTTCCTGCCTGTTTGTCTAGGGGGCAGCTCTTCATGTGTATTCACTTCACACATGCATAAATCCAGGTATTGGATAAGGTATTTTAATCTTCACAGAAACCCAGGAGATTGTTGTTACTTTCCTTGTATTACATACAAGGAGACTCAGAGAAGCACAGGGAACTTGCCTACAACCACAATTGATATGTTTAGGAGCCAAGGTTCAAATCCAGGTCTAATCTCATTCAAAGCCCCTGCTTTTCCCACTAAGCAATGCTCCTCACCAACCCCAGTCCTTGGGTCTAGTTTGTGTTAGTGGTCATATCTCAAAGACAAGGGACCATCTTTGAGTGTTGTGGCTGGACACCTCCAGTCTCTTTTTCTTTCCACTTTAAAAAACATGGGCCTTCCTCTTGGTTTCTGGCAAAGGATCTGTTTCATTCCCAGCTTATATGCTCAACAGGGGTGACTGGGGTCCACACCCAGTTGCTGACCTGCCTCCTGGCTCGACCTACCTCCTGTCACCTCCCTCAAAGGCCCATAGTCACATGGGACTCAGTCATTCCCAAGGAAGGGCTGCAGTTATGTCCCCAATGCTTACATTCTTGTATTTTTCAAACAAACATGAAACCACACATGCATAAATCCATTTCAGTGAGGTTTGTTAAGTACATGCAACTCCCTGAGAGAAGAAATGTAAGGATTGCTATGATTGCAGTGGTTTGCTCTCTGAAACTTCAGTCTTCTCGGGGCAGAAAAGGAGGTGGTGTGAGAAGGCCCTGAGGTTGTGCTCCCTGGTCAGGCTCATATCAGCCTGACCTCCACTGAGTGAAAAATCACAGTGCTGCTCTGTGAGGGGTCTGGGGGCTATCTCAGCGTTTCCAGCAGATGGGGTTATAGAAGCTGCATTTCTGGCTCTCTAAGGCACAAGAGTCCATCAATGGGGACACGGATGTAGAATGTTGTCCCAACAGTAATTTATCAAGCATCTTCTTCATGCCAGCACCTTGCCAGGTATAGGAGGGCCAGGACTGCCTCCCTGCTCCAGAAACGTGTGCCTCCCGAGACAAGACCAACACAGGTGAAATAATTTGTGACCCAGACAAGGTAAGGGGAGATCTGTCAAGGGAATAGGCGCTCTGTGTGGGGGACCAGGTGTCAGTGGGGAAGGAGGTACATGCTGGTGATGCCTGCCTCTGTCCTCCCAGGAAAATCATCCTGACATTCCTTGTGGCTGACCCCTCTGCCTGCAGGCCTGGGCCCAAACCCTGTGCTCAAGAGGGAGGACCCTGTTCCTGTGAGCCCAGGCCAACCAGTATTGTCTGTTTTTGTGGTCAGTGCCCCTTGCGCTGGCAGCAGGGCTGTGGGCAGCCGCACAGCTGGTAGAGGCCCCACCCCCACAAATGAGCAGCAAGACCTCACCCGGAACTGCCCCCCGGCGCCATCATCCAGCTCTAGGATATAGCCGTCCACGGGGCTGTGGGTGAAGGGTGGCATCCTCCAGGCCAGCGTGACACTGTTATTGCGGGTACAGCACTTCTCCAGCTGCAGCAGGGGCACAGGTGGCACTGTGATAGGGACCCACATGGGTTAGCATACAACACCTTCAGAGGGGCCCAGCTCTGTCCCCCTCCACCACCCCCACCCCAGGGGCCCCGGGTCCCAGAGGATCCTATGGCTAAATTCCCTCCCTGGCCACCCTGTGGTCACTCTCAACCATACAGGAGTCAGTCTGCAGGCGGGCTAGGGGTGGGGGCCAGCACAGGGGACCCTGAACTTCTCAACCAGAGAGGGTATCCTAGGATCTCAGGGGGCTCAGGGCAGACAAGCCTGTAAGGCAGTTGGCTCTCACTCCATCTGAGACTTGTGAGGAGCAGGCACCTCCAAGTCACAGCATGAGCCAACATGGACATAGCGAGAGCCAGGCCATGGCTTGCACCCAGAGCTGGGCAGGGGAGCAGATGCACTTAAACCTTTGGCTGGGAGCATTTAAAAGGTCAAATGACCTGACCTGGGCAAGGGAAGCAGTCCTAGAGTACTGGACAGTCAACCTGAAGAATTAAGAATCTCAATCAGTGGCATCATAAGTTTCTCTTAAGATGAGAATGGAAGAATTTAAAAAACCTATCTCTATTTAGGCTCAAGACATTTTAGAAATAGATATACTACACTCTGAACTTTTTTTAAAAAGAAAATTGCAGGATTGGTTTCTAAAAATAACATATTTTTGTATGTAGTTTTATGTAGTGCCCTGAAGCAAGGCACTATCTTCCAGGTTTTAATGGACTGTTTCGTTGGGTGAAATCTCTGCCTTGATCACAGACATGTGGTCTCGGAGCCAGCTGAGCACAGCCTTACTCCTGGCCCTTGCTGACTTGTAGGAGTCCTCTCTGTCCCCTGGGCTCTGCTATCCCACTCTCTCATCCCCTTTCTGAACCCCGCAACCCTGTCCATTAGGAAGCAGCATCTGGACTGTGGAGCCTCCTACCTCTGCACCCTCAATTTCTGGGGTGACCACTCCCTTCCACTGTAGCTACCCCTCTCCACCAGCCCCCCTGCTCCTGGGCACTGAGTCTTATTCACACCTAGACCAGGTAGTGTTTCCAAACCTCACCCAAGGTACAAGCCACGTGGGGTGAGCACGGGGATGTGCCAGAGACTTGTTTCCTCCTCAGTTTAAAAATGGGCATGTGTTCTGTAGGTGAGGACATCCTGAGTCACAGATCCCCCAGATGTGGCCCCTAGTCCTCAAAAGGCCAGACACCTTTTATTTCCCTTCCTGAATGTCCCCTTGGTACCTCTTTGCCTCTGGAGAGGCAAAGTGTAGAACAGACTCTAGTTCTGACTTTCACTTGCTAGCTTGGTAAGAGGGCAGATTAGTTCTGACTCCCCGAACCCGTTCCCTGTAACCTCCATCTGGTTCCCTCTACTCTTGCCTCTCGCCTCCTTGCTCTTCTTGGAACACAAAAACACATTCCTGCCTCAGCACGTTTGCCTTTGCGCCCCCCAACCCTGCCCCAAGTTTGTCAATCTGTTCACCGCTTCATCCTGAGCACTGAGGTTAGTGCCTGGCACGCAGTGGGTGTCCCACAAGCACTGCTGAGTGAACAGCGACTCTCAGTTTACAAATGGGAAGGCTCAGCCTCAGACTGGCTGTTTTCTGCCCCCACTAACACAGATAGTAGGGCAGGGTGGGGGCTTGAACTCAGGCCTATGGCTTGGATTCCCTACGCTCCCTGCATCGTGAGTCTCCCAATGGCACCGAGCTGCCCCCTCAGACTAGGTGCCTCTTTCAGAAGAAGCACTGACTGGGCTATAAGCCTGTGACTCACACCTATGATCTCAGCACTTTGGGAGGATGCAGCAGGAGGATTGCTTGATGCCAGGAATTAGAAACCAGCCTGGGCAACATAGTGAGACCCCATCTCTAAAAAATTTTTTTAATTAGCCAGGTGTAGTGTACATATACAGTCCCAGTTGCTCAGGAGGCTGAGGCAGGAGGGTCACTTGATCCAGGAGTTTGAGGAGTTTGCACTCTACCCTGGGTGACTGAGCAAGACTCTCTTAAAAAAAAAAAAGGACTGACTGAGCTGGGGCCGACCGCGGCTCACCCCTACATTTCATCTGGAGGAAGTCCAGCTGGTGGATGGCCTGCAGCAGCGGCTCACTGTCCAAGGTCAGGTCAAACTCTGCAGACACTTTTGGCTCCAGGGCGCCTTTGACCCACTGTTCCTGGGACACCTGGACACGCTTGATCAAAGCATCTGAGATCTTGAAGGGAAGCAGAGAGTTTAGGGTTTCAGTGTACAAAGGAATAAGTGTGCAGCCCACAGTGGACAAAGGTGGGGGCTTTGTCTCTGTGGGGCCCAGGGGTGGAAAGGGCTGTGCCAAGCATGTGCTTAGAAGCCACGGCAGAGATTAAGTGGCACTGCTCATGTGACACTGGCCATATAAAAATGCATTGTTTTGTTTCAATCATAGTTTAAAAGGGCAATCATGTAAAATGAATAAAAGCACTTGTTATTTAAAGACTTTCAGCCAAAACCTGAAATACATGATACTTCTTTTAATATACAAAATCATCCTTCATTCTATTGGTTTTGCTATGTCTAGTACTGTGCAAAATGAAACATATCAGTAGTTTGCCCCAGTGTCTGAAGAAAGCACACACCATGCCCTTGGAGTTCCACAGCCCACTCCCCCTGGTGTGGCTCCTCTAAGTTGTGCTATGGCTTTGCTTCAAACTCTGACAGCACCCACCCATGGCTCTGCTCTCCTTTGCTGGCACTTTGCCTGCTTATCTGCACATCTGCATGTGGCCCTGTAGAGCCATGATCCCATGTACTCTTCTTGGGGAATTATCAAGGGGAAAGGCACATCATTTTCTCTACAGATAGAGGCTGAATCACTGCCCTGTTCCTGAGAGACTCTCATGACACTGAGTCAGCCCAGATGCTGGAGAGATGGGCTCAAGAAGACTGCATTGTCTTCAGGTAGCCGGCCAGTCATGAGCCCAGCCTGGAGGACTCCGCACATGGACTGTGTGGATTCTGCTAACCAGCTTCTCCCTGAGCAATTTATCTGGCTTGTTTGGGAAGGATGGTTCTTTTCCACCTGTGGGAAAAATATTGCAGGATGGCATTTTGGGGCTAGAGATTATGCCACTTCATCTCCTTAGTTAACAGAGGATGCATAGTGAGGGTCACAGCTCATGCAAGTCAAAGCCCAGGAGAGAGCCCTAGGTCTGCCAGCATTGCTGAGCAAAGGAGTCTCCAATTAACTCCACACTATAGAAAGATCTTGCCTAAAACTCAGGCTGGTTTGGGGAGTGGCAGTGGAGTGGGAGGAAGCCCAGCCACCGGTGGCAGGCTTACCTGCAGGAAGCCAGCGGGGTCGTTCTCCTTGATCACCTCTAGGCAGTACTCCATCAGCCCAGTGGACTGGCGCAGCTTCAGCGTGCAGTGGTTGATCTGGTCCCAGACCATCTGCAATGGGGATGCTCTTTAAGCAAATGTTTCATGGAGGGCGGAGCAGCAAGGCCATGGCAAGAGCCAGACAAGTGGGCCTGGAAGAGGCAGCACCGGCCTGGCCACTCGCACCCACTCCGCTCTTGGCTCTGCTCCTGAGCTGCATGGGGCTTCTCACTGGGGAATAAATGGACTCACTTCCCTACAAATGGGGCCACGACATCCAACATGGCACACATACAAACTCTGGACAGGAAAGGCAGACTAATGCACAGAAAGGGCATTATCTGAAACTCCTTACCACTGGCAACTGGTGCTGTGGTCATGGTTAACTCAGTGGACTCAGCCACTTCCCTGAGAAACTGTGGATCACCTCGAACACTCATCCCTGCCTTCCTTGGAAGCAACAGTTTCCGATTTGGTTAGAAAACGTCTCTGGCACAGATGGACCCCCTCAAACAAGAACAGCCCTTCATCGAATCAGAACAGTCACAGCCCCTGCTGCACCAAGAGCTCTGTGTGACCTGTGGGGAGAGTGGTGCCTCCTTTCATGAAAATTGGCTGCCTATTCCTGCAGCCTACTGCTGTGTGCAGGAGATGCCAGAAAGAACTTGAATAAGGGGACAGAGCTAGAGGCTTATTCAAAGACAGGCCTTGTTATTATCATCGGTCAGTCACTTCTGACTTACAAGATGAGAACAAGAGAGGTCAAAGGTGGGCTTCTGACTTGAAGCTAGCAAGACACAGGGCCTCTGAATCCACTTTGGAGAGAGGGCACAGGCATTTAATGCCCTTTGTCAAGCTGACAGTGCAGCTTCCCCTGCCTCATTTGTTCATTCATTCATTCATTCATTTACTCATCGACACCCTGTGCCTGTTGGGTGAGGAGGACATGACAGACCTTAAGTACACCAGTCCCCAGGTACCCACCTTCAGTTTATGTTCCCTCTCCTTTGTGACCTTGGTGAGCAGCTTGGCTTTCTGCCGGGTTAAAGCATCCACCAGGGCATCACACTGAGCGACCAGGCAGGCTTCGTAGTCCAGTCCATTTTCCTAGGGGGCAGGGGAAACAGAGAGCTTTAGGGGGAAGATCTTGAAATCTGAGAGTGCTACAGACAGGAATGTACTTCAGAGAAACTGGCTTCAGGGTTATCTATAACATTGTCAAGTTGGAAACAATATAAATATAGATTAGGAGGCATACTATGGATCTTAGACTTGTAAGCATCAGGATGGTCTGAGTCACTCAAATCTAGTTCACAGAGCTGAGAAGAAAAAATGGCAGAATATGAGTTGTGCATAGCATGATCCTATGAAAGGTGTGTGTACACATGTGTGTATACATGCATACGTGGTGTGTGTGCATGTGTGTGTCTAAGTAATGGGATAGCACATGTCAGAGCGTGGGAGTGCCTACCTCTAGGCATGAGATACTGATGAACTTTTTCTCCCAGTTCTATTTTTCCCTACATTCCAAAATTTCTGTAACACAAACTTGTGCTTTTTATAATCCAAAAAAAAGGTAAGACAAAAAGTAGTGCTGCCACTGTAGGGACCTTCTCTCCCAATATATAAAAAAAATACTTGTGGGCCTTTAAGATCTGCTGGATCTAGGTATACTTCAAGTTACAGGCCAAATATTGTCTCCTAAAATTCATATATTGACATCCTGACTTCCCCCTAGCAGGACCTCTGAATGTGACTGCTTTTGGAGAGAGGGCCTCTAACTGGGTAATTAAGTTAAAATAAGGTCACATGTGGGTGCCCAAGCCAATGCGACCCTCCTTGTGAGAAGAGGAGATCAGGACACAGGATGGTCACATGAGGACACAGGGAGAGGACCATCTGCAAGCTGGAGAGAGTGGCCTTAGGGAGAGACAGCCCTGCCAGACTTTGCTCTCAGTCTTCCAGCTTCTGGAACTATGAAAAAATAAATATTTGTTGTTCAAACCATCAATCTCTATTTTGTCATGCAGCCCTAACAAAATAATATTGCTCATCATTTAAAATGCCATGTGGCGCTCTAACTCGTTAGGAAGGATGCATCTTGAGTTTGAGACCAGCCTGAGCCTGAGTGAGACACCATCTCTAAAAATAGTTCGGTGGGGGGTGTGGAGCAAGATGATAAACTAGAAGGATAGTTCAGCTGAGCTCTCCTAGAACAACAGAGGAAAAAGAGAGAACCCAGCCACACCTGGGACGGGGACCTTACCCAGAGTCATAGTTCAGGAAGCACAGTGAGGAGGTGGTGATCTGGATACAGTATATGATCCAGAGTGAGGGAAGTCTGATTAATTAGGCAAGTGATTGCAACCGGCTGGGATTAGCTGGCCCCCCACAGAGGTCCAGGATGGGAGGAGGCCTTTCTGGAGTTTTCATTTATTGGGGGAAGCTGCACATTCAGTGGAAAACTGAGTGGGTGGACTCAAACAGTATACAGCAACCCAATTTGAATACCAGTTGGAGTGGATTTGCCATAGGTTTGGTGGCTGGCAAGACAGCCATACTAAGAACGTCTCAGTGGGCAGGAGGCTGCCATTGTGGGAAGGTCATGAAAAGGTCTTAACAGGGGCCTAAAGCACAGCTGTCTTAATTCCACCTTCTGGGATCAGAACTCCACTCATGGGACAGACTGAGGGACTCCCACACCCCATAGGAACTGGAGTCAGGGGGCACTGTGAGACCTGCCCCTGAAGGATTTTTGTGAGCTTTACTATACCAACCCAACAGGGTCTGAATGCTGAGGAAACAATCAGGTGATCACCAAAGGTAACTAAGTTTGGAATAAGGATCATAAAGGTTGCTGGCTGTGCTCTCTGTCTCCTAAAAAAAACCCCACAGCACCACCTGGTGTCCTAGCAACACACTGCAACATACTGCCATCAAGAGCAAGGACTTCTGTTTGAAACAAAAGAGGCAGTGACAAGGAAAAAGGAGGACAAGGAGATGAACAAGAAGAAAGAACACATGAGGAGGAACCAATAGAAAAATTCAGGCATCATGAAGAACCAAAACAGAGGAACTCCCCAAAGGGACCATGAGGCAGCTACTGCAGAAGACTCCACCTATAAAGAATTAATGGACTTGACAGAAAGGAAATTTAAAATATAGACGATAAAGACAATAAAAGGAATGGATGAAAAAATGGAAAGAGAGAACCAAAAGTTGGACAAGAGATATGTAGAATATGGAAAGCATAAGGTGGAGCTTAAGGAAATGAAGAAGACCATCAGGGAATATAAAGATGCAGTAGAAAATATCAAAAATAAGTTAAACTATGGAGAAGAAAGAACCTCTGAGCTAGACGATAAAGTTTTTGAGTTGAACCAAGTAGTTAAAGAGGCAGAAAAGAAGAGAGAGAAAGCAGAATAAGCCACCAAAGTACTTAGAGAACTATGAGACTCCAAGAAGTGTTCAGATCTATGAATAATTGGATTCCTGAAGGAGAAAAGATTGTCCCTAAGGAATGGAAGCCCTACTGGAGACTATTGTAAATGAAAACTTCCCAAGTTATACTAAGTAAGACCCCAACACACTCCTTTCAGATGGATTATCAAACCTCAGGTTATCTCAACTCAAACAGAGCCTCTCCAAGACACATTGTAATTAACCTGTCCAAAGTCAAGATGAAAGAGAAAATTCTGCAAGCAGCCAGGAGTAAGCACCAACTGACCTACAGAGGCAGAGCCATTAGGATGACAGTAGCCTTTTCAACTGAAAACTTCCAAGCCAGAAGATCACAGCCAGCTACCCTCAACATTCTCCATTCTCAAACAAAACAATTTTCAGCCCAGTATTTTGTATCCTACTAAACTAAGCTTCCAAATTGATGGAGAAATCAAATTTTTGCAGATATACAAGCACTGAGGAAATTTGCCACAGCAAGACCAGCTCTACAGGAAATACTTAGACCTATTCTCAACACTGACCATCACAATGGACCACCAGCAAAGTAAACACCCAGAAGCTAAAGGTCAGAACTTAGCTTCCACAATGGTACAAAGGCTAACACTACACAATGGACTTCACAAAATAAGATGAATAGAACTCCACCACACTTATCAATTCTCTCAATACATGTCAATGGACTGAATTCACCACTAAAGAAGCACAAGCTGGCTGATTGGATAAAAATACACAAGCTATCTATATGCTGTCTCCAGGAGACACAGCTTGCCTTCAAAGACAAATCAAGACTCAAGGTTAAGGGATGGAAAACAGCATTTCAAGCAAATGGAAATCAGAAGAAAGGTGGGGTTGCAATTTTATTTTCAGATACAAATGGATTTAAAGAAACTAAAGTTAAGAAAGACAAAGATGGACACTTTAGACTGGTCAAAGGAACAATACAACAAGAAGACATTTCAATTTTAAATATTTATGCACCCAATTTAAATGCTCCCAGATTTATGCAATAGACCTTAATGGGTCTGAGCAATATGATATCCCATAGCACCATAATAGTCAGGGACTTTAACATCCCTCTGACAAAACTGGACAGATCCTCTAAACAGAAACTAAACAAAGATACAAAGGACTTAAATGTGACCCTAGAACAAATAGGATTAATAGACATATACAGAAAACACTATCCCAAAGCTAAGGAATATGCATTTTTCTGGTCAGTGCCTATGGCTCAGTGAGTAGGGCACCACCACCATATACCAAGGGTGGTGAGTTCAAACCCAGCCCCGGCCAAACTGCAACAACAACAAAAAAATAGCAGGGTGTTGTGGTGGGTGCCTATAGTCCCAGCTACTCAGGAGGCAGAGGCAAGAGAATAGCCTAAGCTCAAGAGTTGGAGGTTGCTGTGAACTGTGAGCATAGCACTCTACCGAGGGTGACAAAGTGAGACTC